AGAGAGAGAGAGAGAGAGAGAGAGAGAGAGGAGTTTAAAATGCATTGATTGACAAATTGGATTCGGGCTCCAGCTCCCATGGGGCCAATTCTGATTTACCCAGTACGATTGGTGCGATTTCCGAGTCAGCTATATTTATAGAACATGAAAAATACAAGAAAATTGATGAACTAGATCAATTATGGGGTCTTTTAACCAGCCTTGCAATCCTATCCTGTGATTTCCAAGTCGGTTTGGTGATTTTTATTTTTTTTAGGCAATTTCGCGGGGAAGATATGTTTTAGGAGAGTGTTAGTGGGGTGGTTTTATTGAGAATTGAAAACTATAACGTGATGACTTGCGTTTATTTTTTAATTATTGTTCAAATTTATACTCTTTTTGGATATGTTAAAATGAAGCTCTCCCTCTCACACACACAATTGGTTGGCTGAAGATAAAAAATATATATATATAATATTATATACTGCATCTTTATATTCTAAATCTTACTGCATCTTTATATACTAAATCTTAAACATTCATAGTTTCATCGACAATGATAGCTGAAAATAAATCTTGAATCGGTTTAGATCCATGGTGGTGTTCACCTCTAAACAAATCCCATCGTCCTCATTCTACACAGAAAAAAATAGGGAAAGAAATGGAGGTCCTGCATTTTATCCCTTGTGCTTGGCTTGTCTCCTGTGATCAGAAAGGAAAGAATATTTTGGGAAACCCATTTTAGTCTCTATACAAACACACAGAAGGAAGAGAGAGAGCGGGAGAGAGATTCTTGCAAGGCTTACAGAGAAAGAGACACAGAGAGGCACAGGAAGAGTAATTCTTGTAAGGCCGAGAGAGAGAGAGAGAGAGATTATTTTAAGGCCTAGAGAGAGAGAGAGAGCCTAGAAGCTATAATCAGGCTCAATCAAACTCCTCTTGATCAAAGGCTTGTTGGGGCTCTTCAAATTCTCCTCTCTAACGTCCTCTGTTTTCACATCTACCTCTTCCTCTTGCTCTTCTTCCACCTCGAAAGCAGGATGAGTGAGAATACTGTACAACAATTGTGTTCCCCTCAAAGCATTGGTTAGAGGCAAGTGGCCCTCTGGTGTTTCACCATTGAGCTCCCACATGAACTCAGTAGGAAAAGACCTGTACCCAAATTGCTCAACCTCAGTTTCAAGCTTTTTCATCCAACCCACCTTCACAAAAAACTTTGTAAAATCTCTCTCTACCTTTTCCCATATCTTTTTTTGAACACTATAACCAAATTTTCCATTGCTATGAGTACTCCAGAGCTTATCAATGGCCTGTAAATCCGAAGCTCCAATGAATTTGACCTCCGAGAAGAAAACATACTTCCGCGTTTGTGCTTGCTCTCCGGCTAGTTGGATGAGGAGGCGCCGGGTCTCCTCATCAGCCTCTCTGAATTGTTTGTTAGAGAGATGTTCTTCAAGGAGGTCGTAGGAGATTGTTTGTTGGTTTGTAGACAGAGAAAGGGAGGAGTTCATGGTGGTGGTGGGATTGGTGGCAAAGGTGATGGTGGGGGAGCATCTTGGGGATGTCGTTTTTAGAGAGAGAAAGTAGGGGGGGGGAGTGGTGGTGGTGGCGGTGGTTTCAGAGAGAGAGTCTTTTGAGGGGAAAAGGTGGTGGCGGGTGTGAGTCTGTAGGTGGGGCTGGTGGGGGGCTGCCATGAAGAAAGAGGGGGTAAGAAGTGAGCATATGAGAGAGGGAATGGAGGAGATAAGGCATGGGTGTTGAGGGTGCTATGGATTGTGTCATCTAGAGAGAGAAACCAACCCGGGGTTTTGATTGGTCCCAAGTGGGTAAGACAAGATTCTTTCTCCTTTACTCCCCTGTTTTCCCCGGCACCGGACACATTCATAATCTCTCCCCATGTTTATTTACTTTTGGACATGGATTTTATGCGGCCAGCCCACATATCGTAAAAATGCGGGCTTCCCAATAAATATATTTTTAAAAATTTAATTTAATTTTAACTTTTTAGAGAATATATAATTTTTAAAATGAAAATCATGCATATGAAAAAATATATATATATATTGAAAATTAAAAATAATAATTTTATTAAAAAAACATTTGAACCGTTGGTTGCATTTGTTTTTAAATGGACCACCTATTTACATCCATATTTAAGATGGATGCTTTATACCTCTCGACCATACGCATGAAACAATTTTCCAATACTTTTTATCCTCGGAACTTGGTTAAATTGGTGTGTCCCATGTACTCCAAAATTGGCTCTAATGAATGAAAGACATACACCATGAATATGATTTTAATATCTGCCCTTTTCTTGCACACTACTCGTAATTATGCACGAAGTCTGATGATTCTTTTCAATTTTTCAAGAGAAACTCAGATGTGACTCTTGATTTTCTGACATTTTCTCTTAGTTCCCGTGTATGTAAAGAATTGAGCACTAGAAGTTTCTAAAATTATCAACACATTTTACATTCTCCGATCTCTAAAATTAACAGGGGATTGTAGGTGTTTTCATGGAATCACCCCCGACCAAAATTTTCTTCATGTAAAATCTGCTCGATTTAGATCAGAAAAATTAAATTACAAAGTGTTGAGCTTTTCTTGAATGATGAACTAAATGGAAGTTGGTGTTTTCAACAAGTCGTCGGTTTAGCAATTAAGCAACAAAACGATAGAGACTCTATTGGGGTTGATCCAGGTCAGAAGCAAACCAACGTCAAAGTAATTCTTTGAAACACTTTGGTATTGCTCCCGGATCAAAAGAAAAAGAAGGAACCAGAGCATATGGAACCCATATCGTTATTTTTCTCTAAAGAAAAAGAAGGTGGACTAACTTTGGAGAAATATTAGGTGTTGTTTTAAAATAATATCTTTTATTTTTCTCTAAAGAAAAAGAAGGTGGACTAACTTTGGAGAAATATTAGGTGTTGTTTTAAAATAATATCTTTTAAAAAATTAGCCTTTGAAAATCAAACTTTGCATTAACATAAGGCAATGGGTTTTTCATCACAGGACTAGAGAAGAACAAGTCAAATTTAAATATTGGGTGAGGTCAATACAAGGCGTCAACTTTAAACAATTACGGTAAGGTGCACCTCAAAATCTCATTAAAAGATGTATTTTCAGTACCAAAATTTTTATAATAGCTTAAAAGTCTATTTTTCACCCCTATAATGAAATTGAAAGCTAAAAAAATGATATAAATTCAGCAAATCTATGAGCACTCAAAATCTTGAAAACGGACAGTCGTTACAAGATGTACTATTTTTAAGATTTAAAATTCATTTTTTCTTTTATATCCATATATATCGAGGACAAGATGATCGATTGGAGAATTTTTAAGTGACAACAACCTTTTTCGATGGGTTTTTGAGATGCACTTCATTTCTACAGCATAAAGTTGACTCCTTATATAAGCTTTTGCCTTAAAATACCCTGTTAATGGAACCAAAGGGAGAGAAGCTTATGAGAAGCAAAGCACATGCACACGTGAGCATGCAAAATTTGTTTGCAAAGGCGCTTGAGGTGCACTCAATGATGTCAAATTTGCTTCCAAATTTTCATCGATTTGGTGAAAAAATAAAGTAATTTAATGCTTGATTTCAGATTTTTTTTTAATTT